ATATTGATGGCAAGAACATTTTTGGACCAAACAACAAACGGAGGACATTTTTATTCCTTTCGCGTAGTTTATGGACATTTTTGAACCAAAATATTGATGGTAAGGACTTTTTTAGCAAAACTATAAACAAACAACATTTTTGTTGCTTTCACATAGTTGAACGACATTTTTTACCCTTTTCCTTTTAATAATAGACAAATTTGATTCATTAAACTCATTTAACTAAAATAATCATCATATTATTTTTTGAAAATATATATATTAGTTTGTTATAATAAATCTTCATACTTAAGAATCTTTTATTATAATTATAATTTTTATTTTTTATGTTATGAAGAATAAGTTTTTAAAACGTACAATAATTCATTAATTTTGAATACTTATAAACATAAACGTTAAAAAGAATATCAATATGTAGATCACTCATGAATTCTAACTTACATCAATTAATTATACATTTTATAATGAATCAATAATACTATTTGTCAATTAACTATTACAATAATATTAATTATTTATTATGAAATTCATGCTTACAATATTTTTTCTTGAAAAAAATAGAAAGTTAATAATATTATTACTATTTTTTATCCAAAAAAATAAATAATAAATATCTCAAAAGCCTCCTTCTATTTTAGTTGATATGTCATGTTATTAAGTCATCTTTTTAAAACATAATAGACCTATTTAATTCATCAAATCTCTACAAAACAAATATTTATAACTTATATTATGAAGATTATTAAAAAAAAGTTAAAAAAAACTATTTCCTTTATATTTTTTAACAAACAAAATTCAATGAGAAAAAACTCTGTGCAGTTATTACTTGACAATTTTCAAAATCCCTAAGTAAATTATTTGAAAATTTTAAGCAATTTTTTCATAAAATACTCAAATAAATTTGTAAGGTTGACAAAAAAGTTGGTAAGAAAGAGAAAAATATTATTTACTTTTTTTTAATTTAATTTTTTATCCTTACTTTTTATTGCTATATTATATTATATTTTAACTTACCATACAATTAAGTATTCTTATCTAATCACAAATTCATGAAATACAAGTAATAATTGATTGAATTGACTATTGAATTCAATAATATACATATTATATGAGATTAATATACTGATAAATAAAGATTAAAATTTTATTTTCGAATATAAATATTAGTAACTTTCTATTTTTTCAAGAAAAGAATATTGTAATCATGAATTTCATAATACACAATTTTATTTTATTGTAATAGTTAATTGACATTAAATATTATTAATTCATTATGAAATTTATGATTGATTGATATAAGTGAGAATTCATGAGTAATTTGTATATCAATTTTTTTGAATGTATATGTTCCTACGTATTTAAAATTAATGATATTATAATACATTTTAAAAATCTAACATAACATAAAAAAATTAATTATATAAAAGATTCTTAAGTATAAAAATTTAGTCTTAGTAAACTAATATATATATATATATATATATATATATATATATATATATATATATATATAGTCTGATGAATCAAATTGGTCTATTATAAAAAGAACTTTAACAACATATCATGTCAACTAGGAGAGAGTAAGACTTTTAAAGTGTCAAATATATTTGGAGGAAAATAGTGATTTAATTCTAAATGAAACATAAATGATAGTTTAAAGCAATTTTCTAAATTTGGGTGACCATCCAGGGAATTTACTCCCAAGTTGGGGCTTGAGAAGTTAGATGGTTCTTTTAGTCCACCAATTTCTTTGTTCTTTTGATTAAAGTTGCTCAATTTTAATCGACGATGTGCTTTGCCAATCCAAATAAAGTTATTTATATTAATGATATGATACGAAAAAGGAAATAAGTCTTTTGTTAACTAATTGTTTGGATTGAACTATAAAAATAGTTAGAAACGATTAGGAGTGTGTATTGTATACGTACAATATTTTAGAAGTTTTGATATTGTAATTTCGATATTCGATTTTTAAAACACTATATCATTATCATACCAATTTAGTTTAGTATGATTTGGGATTTTATTTGATTCAGTATTTTACGGTATGATAAATCATTAATCATAGTTTGTTCAACTTCGACTAATATATACTCATATAATAGAGTATTATGACTTTGATAATTAGAAAAAAAAAGCCTCATCAATTGTATCATACTAATACTTTACACATGTAAAAATATGTATCCAAAATTTAGTACAAACAACTCTTTTTTTAAATCAATTACAATTTAATTAAAATATTGTAGTCAAAGTTTCAACTTTTAAACATTTATAGATTATACTAGGGCCCATTTGGATTGACTTTTGACTTATGACTTATAAGTCAAAAGCCATAAGTTACGATTTCTAACTTAGAAATTTTGACTTATTTTTGTGGGTTAATCACTTGAGTGAATCCTTTTAAAAAATAATTACTTATTTTAGATATACTCTTTAATTGTTATCATTTATAACAATATATAATAATACTATATATTTTAGGATTAATTACTTGAATAAGTCTCTTTTAATTAATAATTAATATTTTTAAATATATTCTTTAATTATTACCATTTATAGCAATATCTAACAATATTATGTATACTTATTTTACTAGATTTATTATTTGCGCTTGCGCTCTTTTTCCTTTTTTTCTTCTATCTCTGGCTCTTTCTTTCTTTTCCTCTTTGCACCCCCTCTCCCTATGCTTTTTTTTCTTTCCTTTTTTCCCTGTACTCGTGTATCTATCTATGATCTTTCAATGTTATAAAAAAAATTATGCTTTTATAAAAGGCTAAAAATCTCTAGAATAATTAGAAAAATTTTCAGAAATCGAAGAATTGAAACTGCTTAATTGATAGAAAAAGTCGATTAGTTTTTTATTTGTTGTTTTGGGGTTATCGACGATTTTCATTCTAATGAAGATTATATAAATAATTATACTCATACATGATGAGAATTTGAATATTTGTATATATGAAGATTTGAAGATCATATATTTGAATATATGAAGATATGAATGTTTGAATAAATGAAGATTTGGAGATATGATGTCATATTTGTGCCCCATATTTCCTCATAGACAAAGTGAGATTGAAGATATGATGTCAGTTTTGTAACAAATAAAGAGACATAATAAAAACTGCAATATAAATTAAACTTGAATTAAATATGAATTGCACACATATAAAAATTGAATTAAAAGAGAACATGAATACAAAGCAAATGAAAGAAGTAACCAAATTACACAAATATTAAAGTTGAATTAGAAGAGACAATTAAGCATGAATAAAAAAGGTAACTAATGAAAAACCAGGCAATAATCTATAGAGTGAATTAAACTTGTATCACTAATGAATTAAACAAGTAATTAAATAGTTACAAATAACCCAATAATCTGCAAAATAAATTAAACTTGCATTAAAAGTGTCTTACACAATTTTAAAGTTGAATTAGAAGAGCAAATTAAGAAATAATGAAAAATGTTACTAACGAAAGACAAGAGAATGATCTATATACTGAATTAACTTGTATTATTCATGAATAAAACATGTATTATATGTGTCTTGTAAATTATTTAGTTGTATCACTAAGAACATGAATGATGTTTGTAATATGTATTAAAAATATAGTCTGCGTGTATGATAAATGTATTACAAGTATGTTGCATAAATCATTTGGTTGGTATCATTAAGAAGAGAGTGAAGTTTGCAAATTAATGTATTATCCACGATAAAACTATATTACACGTGTCTTATAAATTATTTTGATTTGATATCACTAAAAAAATGAGTAACGATTGCAATATGTATTAAAAATGTATTGTGCATGTCTTATAAATGTATTACTGTTTGCTACCTAAATTATTATTGTTGATATCACTAAGAAAGGAGTGAAGTGTTCAATATGTATTAAAATATAATTCATGAATAATAGATGTATTACACATGTCTTATAAATTATTTTGATTTGTATCACTAAGAAAAAGAGTGTTGTTTGAAATATGTGTTACAAATATATTGTGTCTATATTATAAATGTATTACAATTGTATTACCTAAATTAATTAGTTTAGTTGATATCACTAAAAGGATGAAATTTGCAATATGTATTATAAATGTATTATTCATATTAATTCAATTTTAATACAATTATGAAATATATATGATATAATTTAAATACAATTACGATACAATTATGTAAAATTCATCCTTTTCAAGTTTCAATCTATATTTCTCCTAAACTCAATTCTAAACTTAACCAAATCATGTTAAAATTGAGAAATAAACTCCAAATATTTTTTTCAGTTATTTGTAGGAACAACCTATCTAAACTAATCAAAAGTTTCATAAAACTAAAACAATAAATTTGAAATTTGAAGTTTTTTAACGATCATCAAAAGTGAACTCTTGATGCTGTAATTTTAGAGATTTGAAATTTCTATAAGACCCATGATTGTTATCGTATTTTCGATGAGAATTGCGGTATGACAAAAAACTATTTTGAAGATAGTTCTCTAACTGAAAATTTCAAAGAAGAAGAAGAGAAGTAAGAAGAAAAATGACAGAGAAAAAGGGAAAGAAGCGAGATAGAAAGACTTTCACTGTACAATTTGTTTAATTAAAAAAAAATTAATATATTTAGTTAAAAAATTATATTGTCATAGATGGTAAATTTTTTCTTGTTATTACATTTTTATGTGATTTACCATTAAATAATATATATGTTATTTATGTAACTAGTCATACCTAATACAATAATATCAAAACCGCGATATTACAGTTATCGATATGGTATAATATGATAATTTGGTATTATACCATAGTATGCCCTTCATAATCAGAGCATCAGTCTATATGTCCTAAGCAAGAGCGTTTGTAGTCCAACGGTTAGGATAATTGCCTTCCAAGCAATAGACCCGGGTTCGACTCCCGGCAGACGCAACTTTTTATTTTTTCTCGTCAGACCTTTTCGTTTTCCCTTGATAAAAATGTAGAGAAAAAATAATACTCTATGGACGCATGCACATTCGCCCGCATTCCGATGGAAGAATTAATTAAATACTCAAAAATTCCATTCTCTTGCAAAACATTCTCTGCTTAGAATAATGGCCGGCCATTGAGCTTTCCGGTTAGTGTTGTCATCTCTCAAGTCTCATCTATTACTATGGTTACCGACGTATTTTTTATGATGAACTTGCTTCTATTTGTCATCCTTAATTGCGTTTCCTCTGCTAGGTTTCATCTCTGTATTATTGGATTGTAGTTACTGAGTAAGTGAGAATGAATCATAACTTACAACTGATTTTTTGATTATTCATTGATTCAGTATCTCGATGTATACTCTACACAAACCAGAACAAAAGTTTTCTAGAAGCCTTGGAATTTTTCTTCAGTACTCCTCAAGCTATGAATTTCTATAGGGTTACCAAGGCAAAATCTATTTTGTGTTGTACGGAACCGACTTTAACTGTCTCCAATTTCATACATTTTTTGTTGCATGAACTTTATTTGTCCTAATTTTGATTGTAGTTTCACTTGCTTGTTGTACTGATGAATTTTGATTCTCAATTATGGTAATTTGAAGGTTCGGCAGTGTTTATTTTGCACTTTGATTTAAAGAATTACTGGTGAACCAATCTTTTCCATTGCTCTATAGCTTAATCCTTATTTTATGTGGTACCATTTGATGTTGGTTTCCGAGTCTTGATTCAAAACTTACAACTGATTGACACAGACAATTGTATTCTAATACTCTGTTGAGGGTGCTAAAACTTTTGATTATGATTCGAGTAAATGTGCAGTTGAGTAGTATAATTTCCTTCTGTTGAGGATATTAACCCCTCCCTCGGTCATAAACCGAAGATATATATAACTCAAAATGTTAGGACTAGGTGTTCCATGGTTGAATTGACTCATAGGCCCCACCGGGATATAAACTTGTGACCTATTGCACCCTACTTGAGAAACATGCTACTAGTTCATACCTATTTCCTGGATCTCCATTCAGTCTCATCTTTACCATATACTTTGTCTGATTAGAAATACAAAAAATATTTGGAGCAAGGAGCTTTGGAGGGAAAAAAAAGGGGGGGGGGGGGGGAGGAGGGGTGATTTTTAATTGAATTAGGGACAGAGCTCCTCATAGAGAGTTGGAAACTGTCAGTTGTCGTAACAAGGCTTAAGCCGAAAAGGTAGGCCGCAACCCCAATTCTCAACCTTGACCTACACAAATGGTATGTTGACCCACATGTTGAGAGTTCTGTTAGGTTCTTAGTAGCAATAGCAGCCTTATCTTGTTTTTATTCACATAGCTTTTTCATCTCTTGGTAGCTGAAGTTCTAGTCAGACATGTTCAATAATCTTTATATCTCCCAGTCATCATTAAGGAGATATTAGTTTAGAACAAATTGGTCAAACTCACTAAATTCTCTTTAGCCCTAGGAAGAAGCAGCATCAAGAAAGTTGTGAAGATTATCATTTAAATAACTCCACTGAAGTTGAGATGGGCATTCCTCATCTTTTAAAGGAACTTTGTTTCACACCCATTGTTGACATCGATACTAGGTCAAATGTTTAAGACTTTTTCTTCAGCATCTGCCTCAAGAATCCCTAATTACTTAGTCATAGTCAAAGCCTTGAATTTTCTCATTGTAGTCTCTAGCTACTATTTGTAGAGGCCTTAATTCTGTGACAATTTTTTTTTTGAATTTTCTGTATCAACTAAAACTATCTCCAATACCATACTATTTTGTTGCATGAACTTTGTTTGTCTAAATTCTGATTATCCTCTCTCTTGTGAATTTCTTGCATGTTCCACTGATGGAATGTGATTCTCAATAAAGCTAATCAGTGGTTTTACTAATTTGGGGCTTTTGCTTTTGCTTTGTATTTTAATAAAAAGATTCAGATAAACCAAGAAGCAGTCCAAGGCTCAATTAATAAAACCAAATGTTAAGCTATGACAGTTATCGGTTGTTTTCCTTATATGTTAGTGCTCTTAATGTTGGAGTTTAACTGAGATAAAACAGAATCAAAAGGGCTAGGAGCTCTGGCCGGTAACAAAACTAAAGCTTCACACGGGTCTTACCTTTTTTTTCCCACCTTGATGTCTTGATTGTGTAATTGAGGAAGAAATGCGTATGTTCAAAATATAGGTTCTGGAAAATGGGGCGTTCCGAGAATTGAACTTGGGACCTCCGCACCATAAATGCCCGATCTTTGTGTTTTGTTCTCTTTCCTGTTAGTTTCTCTTTGATTATTTTTTCTATGCATCGTTTTTATATGCATTAAACAATTTGTAGGTCACTATGTTATCATTACAATGGTAGCCGATTTATTCATTTTATACTTCTCTATTTGGCTATGAAATTCCTAGTTAATATAAGGAGATGCAGGATTACTTGTCCAAAATAAATATGCAAATTAATGGAATTAGTTGTCTCTAAATAAAAAATATATGCACTAGTTAGGTGTCGAGGGGTATGTTCACTTCTGTTGAAATTTTGCATTTGCCTTAACTTAAAATAAATGAAATGAATGGGGAAAAGTGAAGAATAATAAAGAAAAGAAAAGGATAAATCAATTCCACAGATTATCCCTGTTTCTTTTACGTTGTCATAGTTGACTTTGGATCAGATCTCCAATTAAGTGATTTCTCTTAATCCCTCTAGAACTGTATGGATATAAAAGGTGTATGATTCGTTCAAACATACATCATTTGCTTTGCTTCAACATTTAGAAGTTTAATTCACTTAGTAGAGATTCCGTAGGAATTATTTTTAGATAAAAACTGTCTTAACTTGCATCTGCACTCATTGAGTCATTCATAAGGGAGAGCGAGATTTAAGATTTTTTTTCTTAATATTATTTTGAGATGTGTATTTAATCAAAAAGGAAGGGGGCATTCCGAAATTGAACTGGGGACCTCTCGCACCCAAAGCGAGAATCATACCACTAGACCATCTGTGCAGTTGTTGATGAGTGACATTTTGACTCATGATCAATATGTTTTCTCAATGGTCAGCAATAACTTAATCACAAATGTCATTGCTTAGTTGCATTAAGATTCTTTAAGCTTCTTATTTCACACTTATTGATCTGCATTTGCTTACTGGTAAAAGGTTTGAGGGCTTCTTTGGACTCCCATAGTCCCATTAGAATAATGTTACTTCCCCAGTCCAAAAATAATTGATGTCTTAGGCTTGGGCACATGGATAAATGAATTCACTTACTCTTAAAAATTAATAAACTTTGACTAAAATACCCTTAATTATGGTTTTCTTTTCTTCTTAGGTTGACATAATTATCATCAAATTTGTATCTTGAATTAGGAATGTGTCAAAGGAAAATTTGGATTTCTTTTTAACGTGTTCTTTGTTTTGTAAATCATCAATTATTTGGGACCGGAGGGAGTAGTAGATAATCAGAGAGTCTTAGACTCTTCTTCTCTTGCAGCCTTTCTTCTATGCCTGCTTTCCTCTTATACCTAAAGAGCTGTCAGTTTTGATCGTTATCAGTCATTTCATTTTACAAGCCATTTTTGTCATACTCAAATCTTTTGGGACATATATATCACCAATAGCGGAGTCAGGAGTTTCACTAGGGATTCAAAATATAAAGAAGTAAACACATGAAGAAGCCAAGGGATTACAAATCTGCCATATAGACATAACTAATATGTTTTTGGCCTTTTATATACAATGTAAATTTTCGGCGAACGAACCACCTTACATCCTTTGGCTCCGCCGCTGCATGTCAACTAGGAACCGTATTTGGGGTGGCTTAATGCTTCATGTTTAGCTCCATAGTTTGTGTCAGTGTCGCAACTTGCGTAGATGCCCAAGGTTAGGAATGGTAAAAAGGAAAAATTGGGCTTTACATTTAGTTTGATCTTATTTTCAGATTATTAGAATATCTTCTTGATTAATCTAGTGTGTTTCTACTTGTTTGTGTTCTATTCTGCTGGTCTTTGCGTGTAACTTGGGTCATAAAGCAGCATGAATCTTGTGAAATTCAAGTCAATAGAAATTAAATGATTCATCAACTATGGATAGCAATCGACTGTTACCTTCTCAAAAAAAACTAAAAAATAAACTAGGGAGAGCAATCTTACTCTTGATTTGAGCAGGAATCAAGGATCCCTTGCCTGAAAAGACAACATACCTCTAAAGAAATGTTTGATTTTTTGGTAACACCTACCATTGATCAATAACTTCATCTATCATTGTTGACATCCATGATCTATGAAATGAACCTTGTTTATGGAACTTTTCTGAAGGACAAATATATTACTAGCTAAGACACTTCTCATTTTGCCTGCTCTTTCAAATAAACCAGCAAAGGTGTAAAGCAAGAACACTTAAAACTTCCACTTATCATGGTTGAGATGCTCCTTGTGCTGATCTATTAACATAACACTGCAGATCACTTGGGTTCCGTGTTGTATTTTTGGCCTTCATACAGTGGCGTAGCCAGAAATTTCACGAAGGGTGTCCAAGAATTGTTTACGAGTATATTTTTTCTTTTGGATGAATCAGTCACCAGGAATTTTAAAAATTAAACTACGTAATATACATGAAAAAAAATATGTAATATACCTGAAAATTTGAAAAAAAGAAGACGAAGGAGTGCATTAGGAATTTTAAAAATTAAATTACGTAATATACATGAAAATTCTTGAAAAGAAGTACGTAATATGTATGATAATTTTTGAAAAAAATACGTAATATACATGGAATTTTTTGAAAAAAAGACGTAAAAATTATACATGAAAAATATTTAAAAGTAGAGGTTTTAAGCTGCTGCTAGCGAAATTTGAACTCACAAATGCTTAAAGACTTGGCTCTTTCAAGGCACCTTTAACGACTATGCTACAACACCTGGTTGTGTTAAGGGTGTCCAAAATACGTTAGTTAACCATTTTATATATTATTTTACTTGTATATACGATATAATTTTCTGACGAAGGGTGTCCAATTGGACACCCTGAACAGGACGTAGCTACGTCCCCCTGCCTTCGTACAGCTAAGCGGTGAATTAGCAGGTAAGCACAAAATAGCATGCTTTTCTGAATCATGATTTATTATTCTTATCTTTCGGATGCAGATGGGTTTCGTATAGGTGTTCTCT